TGAGGAGAGACCGGTCCTTGGAGAAGGACATCATGCTTGGGAGGGTGGAGGGACAGCGCAGGAGAGGAAGGCCCTCTATGAGGTGGACTGATTCAGTGATTGGGATAATTGGGATGGGAGTGTCCGAGACAGTGCGATTGGCACAGGACAGAGCGGAGTTTAGGGCTGTTGTACATAGGGTAGCCATGAGTCGCAAGTGACTCGACGGCACATAACAACAAACAACATGAAATAAGACCCTGTTCACCACATAAAACAAAGGCTAAGAACTTCATAAATATATTCATATGTATAACTGTACATATTTATGCAATTACATAAAAATCAAATACCCAAACTCACTGCTGATGAGTTGACCCTGACTCATAGTGATCCTCTAGTGTGTTTTCTGAGCCAAAAATCTTTGCAGGAAGAGACTGATCATCTTGCTCCTGCATAGTGGCTGGTAGAACTTAACTATTGAGTTCCTAGTTAGCAAGGCAGCATATACTATACGACCAGAGCTCCTTACACATAAGCATGGAGAAATATGGAAGAATATATATTATTTTTAAAAATTACATATTTATATTGGTTTGCCTAAAACATTCATATACATTGTATTTCATGCTTGTACATTGTTTTATACGATCTTTCATTTACACATTTCATTCATGTATATTGTTATCCCCCACTTACAATGATCTTACTACTTTTGTAAAGCATGTAAGTCATCTACTTCATGCCTCATGCCATACTATCCTCATTTTAGCCAATATATGACTTGTCCATTCCTATTAAACAAGCATCTCCCTTTTGCTGAATAATCTTCTGTTCAGTTTGGAAGCTTTATGCATCTGCTCACATATGCATTAGCTCACAGCACGGATCATGTTCGCTTCACCTGGTTGAGTTCTGGTCAACTCATCTCCAGCCATCTTTGGCTATGCTATGTTCAAATAAGTATCAGCCACAAACTCAGGAGTCCACACTTCCCCCTGCATTCCAGACCAGCTGGTTCCTTCACTCAGCCTTATGAGGTCAAGTCAATAAGCCAGGAGCTCTCATGACTCCCCGCTCCTCAGGCCAGCAAGCCTTTTTCACTTATTCGTGTATTTGTGCGTGCTAGATGGACAGTGCTGAAAGCATATGTCAAGCTCAGCCTGTCTCTTCACTGTTGTATGCCTCCTACCTCCATGCCAGGGGATCCAGGGAAACCAGGGGATCATTACAAATGAGCAGACTGGTTAGCTCCTTTACTTCAAGTCCTGGAGTGGGCTCTGAATGGACACCAACTTTACATTGCCTTAAAAGCCAAACAGCTTGTTCTAGTTCTAGAAAGTCAGTCTCTCTTTCTCTCGCTCTCGCTCTCTCTCCTCTCTCTTCCTTTCTCCCTCTTTCCTCTGAGTACCGGTTGGGACTTAATCTTTCCCCTAATCTAAGCATCAGCACTCACTACCAAATTCTACTTTTAACAAGCTTATCTCCAGGACAGATCTTCCCTCTTAGTACATCCAATCAAGTACTAGTCAGTGGTGGAATTACACATTTTCTGAATCTACAATATCCAGTGTTCATTTATATTATACGTCTCCCCCTTCCATTTTGTTATTGATTTGCATATAACTACCTACACACATTGTGCTTTATCCATGTCCACTGCACCCCACACAATCCCTCATACACACTGTGTATCAATTAAGTATCACCTATCCAAGTCTATTATCACCCTGCTGTCCCAAGTCCTCACAGAATCCCCCTTCACTGCCTTTCTCTACCTACCCACCAACCTCTGCCATCCCAGTGATCATCTCCCCTTCCCATTCCTTTCTGAACATTCATACATATCTTGCTATTTATTCTTCTATTTTCACAATAGTCATCTTATGCAGTATTTGTCCTTAAGTGATTGAGTTTTTTCACTCAGCATAATGCTCTTTAGGCTCTCCCATGTTATGTGGTATTTTGCGAAATCATTCCTTAGTATTGTATAGTACTCTATTGTGTGAATATGCACAATGTCTAAATCCATTCATTTGTTGATGGGCATTTGAGCTGTTTCCATTTTATTGCTATTGTGAATAACACTGCTATGAGCACAAATGTACAGAATATGTACTGTGTTTTTAAAATCCTTTCATACATACTGTGAGGTGGTGTGGATTGAGGGAAACGAGGAGAGATACAATGTGGATGTTTTGGGGGGGTGGCTATAGGAACAAAAAAAACACAACAAAAACATCCAAAACAGAAAGCCTGATAATACAGCATTTGTGCAAACTTGGAAGCTCAGGTGGCTTAGTGGTAAGGAATTGCACTGTCAATGCCAAGGTACATAGTTCATATCCACCAGCTGCTCTAAGGGAGAAGGATGGGCAATTTACTCCCACGTTTTTGCTGCCTCTGAAAACCTGCTGAAAGGTCAGCTAAGAGTCAGTTCTGACTCAGTGGTACATAACAACAAAATTAATTTTGTTAATTGTTTCCTCACTATAATGAGAAATGGAAATAAGCAGGTGCTGACAAAGTCAACAAGAAATTAAAACCAAGAATTTTATTAAGTTTTGTTGTTGTTAGGTATTGTAGCTGAGTTGATGATGACTCACAGTGATCTTATTAACAGATGAGAACCTTCCCCATCCTGTACTATCGTAATGATCTCGCCACATCTGCACATATTGCTGAAGTCACTATGTCAATATCTCTCTTAGAAGGTCTTCCTCTTTTTTCCTATGAATGACCCCTGTCATTCCCAGCATGTTGTCCTTTTCCAAGAATTGGTCCCTCCTGACAACATGCCCAAAGTAGTCTATCAGC